GGAGTGTTGTCCCGCTACAAAAGTAATTTCATTTGATTCGTTAACCTGATTTGGAGATTAGACCATTTTGATCCGCTTTGAACTAGATAGTTTTGATAGAACCACGAAATCAAAACACTTGAACTGCTTTGAACCCTTTTTTTACGCTTATTTTTATAATAAAATTTTTATTTAATTTAAAAATATTAATGTCAACTTATTTTTCAGTTGTTATAATAAAATTTTTGAACACATGATTTATTTATTGACATTATATGAATTAACATGAATAGAAAATTGAAAAATTTTTTGTTTTAAAAGACAAAGAGGTAAATAAAAAAATGTACATATGAAAAAAATGAAGAAATTAAAAAATAATATTATTTATTTATATTTGTATATATAAATATTATATAAATATTATTTTTATTTTATTATTAGATCACTAATCCAACTGTCAGTTTAATCAGTTAAATCATAAAAACCATAACATGCTGACATTTTTAGTTTATTGTCCAGTTTGATTTATTAAAACATTAGAATTAATGTCTTAACTAATTTAATAACATTTTTCCTCCGATCCTATTTATAAAGTAGAAATAGAAGAATTTGTTTGATCTCATTTATAAATTATCTTATTAAATTTTTATCATAATTTTTTATTCTCTATTGAATGTTGAATAGAGAAATATATTGTTAAAATATATATATTTAATAAGAATAAAACTAAAAATTTATTAAATTTTTAAATAAAATTAATAATATTTAAATTTTTTTAATATCATTAAAATATATTAAAAGTAATTTATAAATAAATAAAAAAAATATTATATTTATAATTTATTAGATTATTATAATTTTAATCATTAATTTTCAAACTAACGTCAGAGCAGTTTAATAACCTGTACAATTTTCAGTACACACTCAACTGACTTGCCTCGGTTAAATAAATTTGACGACGCATGTGAAGCCACGTGGTCAAATGAGAAAATGTGTAGCAGACATCGCATTCAACAGCAAACAACCACCAACAACCTAATAATCGCATCCACGCCGCTGCCTCTGCGTTCTCCATAACTCTCCTGCTACCATCACTCTCCCTCCTCTGCCCACATTGCCTTGTCCCTCTCGTTCCTAATTCCTATAACTGTCTTTCTTACGCCATACAATTCTCATATTTCCAATAAAATTAATTGTGTTGAAAACAATGAGGCTACATATATATATATATATATATATATATATAATTACAGTTATAAGATTTTCTCAAACTTTATAGTTGTAATAACACGGAAAATTATTAGTTTCAGTCTTTTTATATTAAAATTTCTTATTTATTAATTTTTGTATTTACTACTATTTTTAAGTTATTAGCGATAAAAATAAATGTGATTGTATACTTCCTTCTATTAATATATAAGAGGTAAATGAGCAAATTAACAATTGAATTTTAAGATCAGTAGTACCATAAATTTTAAACTTGTTTATTATATAAATTATTTTGTCAATTTTTGAAAATAATGTATTTGACCCCTTATCATTAATATAAAGTTAACTTTGATCATGGATATAAAAAATTACGGAAAATGATAAAAACAAAATTTGGGTCTGACTGTAATTTTTTGTCCTTTTAAATAATTTTTGAGGCCATTTTTTTGTTATTTTCTAATCAATTGATAGTCAAAATTAACTTTTATTAACGGTAAGGCCAGATTGCAACATTTTTAAAAGTTTAGAGAATAATTTACATAATAAACGAGTTCATAATTTATGATATTATTTGACCTAAAGTTTATAGGTAATTTGTTCATTTAACCTTATATACATTACTTTTAACATGTTTTACTATAAAAAAATCATAAAACTTATTAAATTTCTCTAAAAACTTGATAAGTTTTAAATTTTTTCCTATTAAATATATATATATATATATATATATTAATAATGTATATTCACATTTAATGAAAAGTTTAAATAGCAAACTTGTAACAAAAAAATTAATGACATATTCAAAAAAAATTCTGTTTTTATTTTATAAATAGGACCGGCGAGAATATATTGTAGATAGTCATGAACTCTTACATCTAATATTTAATTTAATTTATAATCTAAGACAATCCCCCAATATCTCTTTAGAATCAATATTGATGAAAAACATTAGTGGTAGTTGCGAGTTGTAATTAATGTTGTCCCATCGTGGACTACGTACAATCACATTTAGAGGTACTTCTTTGGTGTAAAATATAAGCAGCTTTTTTTTAAAAAAAATGCAAATTAATAAAATTTTTATTTTTATAAAAATATATATTATTCTTTTTACTATTGATCTCAATTACTAATATATTTTATAATGAGGGAGAGATAAATTTACACAAAAATCTAGGTTAATAAACATAAATAGTAAAATAAGATTTTTTTTAATATATATTACTATCTTGCTTATATTTGAATCAAGATTAGTTGGAAAAAAAAAAAGTCGATATTTTGAACCAAAAGGAGTAAGTTTCTTACCAATAGAGAAGTTTAGTGGACGCATGCTTGGATTCTTTTTTGCAAACGAAAAGTACTTTTAAGAAACTAATGGTTTGCTCCAATGTATGTTTGACTGCTTGCAAGTTCAATTCACAAAACAAAAAATATACATGAAAAGCCAATTTTATAAACGTAAATAATGATAGCTTTTGCAAAAAGTCCATTCAATCGGGCAAAAATCTGTTTTGCAAATTGAAAACCAAACATGCACAAGCACTCATACTTTAGAAGTTACTTAAAGTTCATCAGTCTGGTTTAACTAGCTTCACATGACCGATAATAGGTTAATTTTGTTAAAAGATTACATTAATTTTCATTTTTAGTTTTATACTCTCCTTTCAAAATATGTCTTTTTGAAGAAAAAATTGTTTCCTTTATATGTTCTTTCAAAATATTATTACTTGACCCAACAATTTTAAAGAGCATTTATTAAGATTTATTTGACATTGTAATTATATTTCAATGTATTGATTGCATTTCTCAATCTGCGTGCAAAAACTTTAAAAGACTTATCTCAAACCAGAATTGGCTTTCCTTCTCTTCTCCATAGAGGAGAGTGGATAAGAAATTATTGCAAATCTAAACCATTAAACTGAATTTAGTTATTTAAATTTAATAATTTTAAAAATATAGATTTAATTTAAATGGTTTAGATTTGTAATGAAAAAGTAGTAAAAAAAAAACCGCCTCTTCTAAACTATAGCTGGTAATTCAAGCCAAACATAACTGGTCAGCTTGAGCCCATCCAAAAAAAAGGTAGGGCTAAATTTAATTATATGAGCTTTTTAAAGAAGGTAGGATACTTTAAACTAAATTTGAATAAGCCTAACTGCTAGAATTTCTGACTCTATCTGTATGTAGAGGCAGTAATTTTGGCCAAGCCCAATGGACCAGCTTGAACCTTGCCAAAAAAAGTTAGGGCTGGACTTGGCTATATGATTTTTTTAAGATGATAGAATACTTTAAGCTCGATCCGAATAAGCTCAATCCAAATTGAGGCCGACCTAGATTAGCCTGGTCCACTTGAATTATCGGCTCTATTCTAAACCATAATATATTGCATCTTTTAAAAGTCATGCTTAATTCAAAATATAAGACATTATGTAATTTTTATAATTATTTTTTTCAACTATATCTATATCCCTACTTCATTTACTACTCATTTTGAAGTTAAGGTTTTATTACCTAATATTTCTAGCACTATTAAATATTTACCAATTCCTTTATTTATAAAGAGTATATTTCCTCTACTTCTTATCATAAGCCATATATAACTCACTCGTTAGAATCAATAAAAAAATAGCTATATTATTGAAATTATCTAAAAATTGCTTTGATTTTTATTTTCACCTCTAAAAGTACCATCAATTTTTTTAAACGAAAAGCAAAAAATTATTTATCCTGTCATTGGAAATTGAGAATAAGGGCATATTTGAAATAAAAGAAATAATACTACACAAATTCTTGCAAAGTGATGACTTATATTAATGGCCATAAAATTTTCCTGTATATAAGGGTAAATTAGGGAAAAGAATTTAATGCCTTATATAATACTATCAAATAGAATTTATATTTTGAGGCAGGAAAAGCTTAGAGATAAAGATTTATAGGAAAGTTAACTTCCCACCAAATTGATATATATATAACTCGTCTGTTTAATTTTCTTATTCTTTTGGGAAATTGAAACAACTTCAATATCTTTCCCAGAAAAGTCACTCGCCAAATTTCAAAGAAAGTAGGGCTCCTGACTTCCAAAAAAATAAAAAAATTATATTCCTTTTTATCTCAAATTATGAAATATGTTTGAACAAAATCATACCTATTAATAAATCTCAATAAATATACTTAACAATAGTATTTTTTTAAATAAAATATAAACTTTTAAAAATATTCTTCATTTCATATATTGAAAAAAGAGATGAACAAAAATTAAGTAAAGAAAAAGAAAAGGTAATATTAAAATAAAAATATTTAATGAAACTTTAATATTCTCAAATTGTCTTATAGTTTGAAACATTAAATCTCCTCCAACAATATCTTATAATTTAGGTGGAGGTAGTTGTTATTGTTACACTAAACATAAGTACTCCTTTCGAATCTTAATATAAGTTATAATTAATTAATTCATAATTTACAAATAATGTTAATTGAAACTTTAAATTTTTAAAAATGTCTACATCTTTTTGTTTATACCCTCATTAAATACCCAATATAAAAACATTGATTATAATAATTAAAATTTCTAATGCATGATTTTTTTTAAAAAGAGTAATAAATAAAGTAAGAGTATAGTTGAAAAAATAAATACAAAAGTTATCCAACATCTTATATTTTAGATCATGTAAAATTTTTAAAAAATGTCTTATATTGTGGTTATAGGAAGTAAATTACTTGACCACTTTTTCTAGCATGTTCTGTATATTATTATTGATTGCCCCACCTAACTTCCCCCACAGACCTCTATATAAACCTTTGCATTTCTCCACCATAAGGCACGCTCACACTCATCAGCAAAGCAATTTCCAAACCACAAATTAACCAAACCATTTGAAGGTACCATTGATCGATCAGCATGGCCGGTGTGATGATGAAGTTGGCTTGCGTGGTGGTGATGTGTGTGGCCCTGGTGGGTGCACCACTGGCTGAAGCCATCACATGTGGTCAGGTCACAAGCAGCGTAGCTCCTTGCCTTGGTTACCTCCAGAAGGGTGGCAATCCATCCCCCGGCTGCTGCAACGGTGTCAAGAGCCTCGTCGCAGCGGCTCGCACCACCGCGGACAAGCAGACCGTCTGCAACTGCCTTAAGACAACCGCCGGTCAGATCCCCGGCTACAACGATGCCAACGCTCAGGCCATTCCTGCCAAGTGTAGGGTTAACGTCCCCTACAAGCTCAGCACCTCCACTAACTGTGCCAGGTATGTGTGTGTGTATATATGACCATGATATACATAATCTCTTGCAACTCCAATTCAACTACCCTACTGAAAGAGTTAAGTCATTAATTTTATTTAAGAATAAATTTTTAAATTTACTCTTATTTGAATAATTTTTTTAAATTTACATTATATTTTCTTTTATAATTAATAAGTTTTAAATAGAGGTAATATTAAAAAATATAATTATTAGCCCATAATATGCTTTATATTAAGAACAAAAAAAATCTTTCTAATAGAGACCAGAGGGAGTAATATAATTGTTAACTAATTTATGTTCTTAAAAAATGGTTAAAATCTTGATTTTTTTTTAAAATTTTCACTTCTTCCTAATTGTATCTTTAAATGAAACAAATATATAGTTGAGTTGTTCAAAATTTCCTCATTAAATACTTAAATAAAATATAATAAAGTAAGTGTATAACAATAATAATAAGACTTATCTTACTAAATGAAGTTAGTTACATAGGTTGTATACCGTCATTTACTCTGTTAGCAATTAAACCTTTAGAATATTAATGTTAACTAAAAAGTATAAAATAAGAGTAAAATTGAAAAAAAATATAAAACTGATTAAATGCTTTATATTTTGGATCAAGCGGGCATTTAAAAAAGGTGCTATATTATGATCCGAAAGGAATATATATTAATTAATTATATGATTTTAGTGTGTGTGTACGTTCGTGTATGATGGTAAATTAATACTTTGTAAGAGATTTTTTTTTTGTTTTTTGTTTTTTGGTTTTTAACTGGAACTGACATGCATGATCTGGTGGTTAATTGCAGCATCAAGTTCTAAATACAATAATACAATGGAAGATGAGAAGGTAGCGACGACGAGAATAAAGAAGGAGCACTTATTTATAGGGCTTAGCCTATATGAGTCTGCTTTAATTGTGTCTCCAAGATTTTATGTTTAGTTTAATTAATCACGTGTATGTTCTTGTGTCATTGCCGTGATCAATATATGTACCAGTTTGGTTGTTTCATCTATTAATCACATATCATTTCTTGGCCCAAAAAAAAAATTACATGTTATTTTCCATCGTACCTTCAATTCATACAGCATATTCTTTTTTTTCCCCCTAGCTATAATTAATAATGTTCGTGATCGATGGTTCTATACGTGTTGGACCACAATTAATTATTTCGTTTTGATATGTTATGTGATCTAGACTGGCTCGGTACGTATAATTGGACGGTGTCTGAAAGTTAATCACTATTATTCATATACTTATCCATTAAAAAATTAAAGTATTTTTAAATCTAATCTCACCCTAATAAATTAATTAAGTATTAAACTAACACTATCTTTTTATGTTTATCTTTATTTAATAAAATATTTTACTTAAAAATAAATATAAAACAATTCACTTATTTTATATATTGAAATATTAAAAGTGTTTTATATTTTTTAATATTTAGGCTTTATATTTTTTTAATGGAAGGAAAATTACTATTGCTATGCTCTAATATGTGATCTCAAGCTGACCTTCTGTTTCCGGCCTTAAAAAGAAAAACTTGACGACAACATCTTAAGCCTAATGGCTGGTGGAGGATGAAGATAATAGAGATTTTTCTTTTTAATTTCAGGATTATTTTGGTCTTTTCAAAATATAATTATATTTATTCAATATATTTTTTATTTCACTTTTTATATACCAAACATATAAACCTCACTTCTACTTTTATTTTCACTTAAACTTTCATTTTTATTTCTACTTTTACTTTCACAAAAAAAAAAAAAACATTTTTATGTACCAAACAAGCCATTAAGTCCCAAAACAAGTGGCATGAGTATCTTTTGCTAAGATAGATATATATATATATATATATATATATTTGGCTTTTGGGAATGAAAACCGTGTTTAAATAATTAAAATTATAATAATATTTAAGTATATATTGATACTGTAAATTACAATCTGTCTTATTGGTTTTAGATTATTAATTAGATTTAATCATACTTTGACCAGTGAGAAGAGGTTAATAGGCTGACCTTCCGACCAAGCCAATGACATGAATTAAGTTGAGGATTAGTACAACTCATGATGCTACAGAAAATAAAGGTGTGTATACATATATATACATATTATATAATATAAGGATCATTATCTCTAACTCAAATACCATTTTACTGAGATCTAAGTTTTTCAGCTAGCCTAGACTTGGGCTGGGATAAAACCAAAATACTCATGCCATATCACGACACTAACAGTCTAACATGATAAATTTTGAAGGCCAGCCAATGTTGCTTAGATTGATAAGAATGTAATTCATATTTTATAGAGACTTCAGCTCTTTGAAGTTGAGTGACCTTTTCTACATGGTCATGGATGCAACATAAACACTTTGATGCCAAATTGGTGGAGAGAAAAAAATTGATAGTCGTTACTTAAGCTATCATCTCAAAATTCTATTATTTCATCAACACTTATAGATGTATTGCGTAAATTTATAGTATCTTGATTGAACTGAGCCATTAGAATCTTCAAACATGGGCCCATGTAAGGAGGGCTTTCATTGGTCCATTTGGACAAGTACAAACCCAACTCCTTAAATAAGCTACTTAACCTTTAAAGTTTCTAGAGTTTCCATTAGAGAAAGTTGAATTTAATAAAAAAAAAAGGCTAATCCCTCATTACATAATGTGATGAATTAAAATTTAAATTTTTATAAGGAAAGATACTCATGTTTAGTGTTCAGCATTACCTCAAACAAGAGTGTGTCCAATAAAAGAATACTTGTGATTAATTAAAAAAAAAAAGTTTCCTAATGCTTGCATTGTGAAGGGGTGTTTAAGATTCAAGTCAAGTTTGTTTTGATTTTAACGTGGCCAATTGATGAATACATGAGCCAAGCTTGGTCAAGTATTAAAGAATTCAATAAAGATATTAAAAATATAAAACATTATTTCTTTTTAAAAAATAATGTTAGTATCGAAAGTAACATTTTAAATTATTAAAGGAAAATATCATCTAAGGATCCTTGGAGATTTTTAATATTAGAGAAGGACCTTAAAAATTTGAAATTTAAATGCACTCCTTAGGTACTTGTCTAAAATAAGATTTTGTGAGAAAAAAAATCTAATTATCTCTAAAATTTTATGGATGCATAAATAAGTATTTATTTAAGTTTTGACAAGTAATAATATATAATTAACAATAAGCCATTTGTTTTCAAAGAAATGTGTGTGTGTGTAAAGAAAGAGGAACGAAACCAAGCTGAAGGGTAGAGCCTAATACAAAAGTGTCAACCAATACTTATATAAAATATTAAAAATATTTTATATTTTTAAACTTATAACTTTTAAAAAAATGTCAAACAGTTTTTAATGGAGAAAATAATTAATACCTCACAGCATGTCTTATATTAAGAATTAAAAAATCTTTTTAACAAAGACCAAAGGAAGTAATTGTTAACTAATTTACGTTTGGTAGAAAAAATTGTTTATATCTTCATTTTCTAAAAAAATTTATTTTTTTTCAATCGTACTCTTAAGTGAAACAAGTATAATAGTTGACTTACTCAAAACTTTGATTAATTATTTTAGTGGAATATAATAAAGTAAGGATACAAAAATAATAATAAGATTTATCCTACTAAATATAGTTGGTTAGATAGATTGCATGATTTTATTATACTTAATCAGCAACTAAACCTTCAGAAATATTAATGTTAACCAAGGATTATAAAGTAAAATAAAATTGAAAAATTGTATAAAACTTACTTTCTTCATTCAAAAATGTAATACATTTTTTGAGGAGTTAGATGTTAAAAAATATAAGACATTTTTAATCTTTTGAGATGTAATCATTGTCTTTTTTTTAAAAGTGTCTCTATTAATGAATGACATTATATTTATTATAGGGTGCTTAATAGGAATAAATATAAAAAGGTAAAATTAGTTTGAAAGTAGGTAACTACTTTATTAAAGGTAAAATTTGATTAAAAATATCTTATATTTTTAAACAAAGAAAGTACCTAATACTTTATATTTTGTACCAAGCAGGACATTTAAAAAATATTATATATTGTGATATGAAGAGAATATATATTAATTAATTATATGATTTTTAGGACATACACATGTGTATGTATGTAAACATTACATGAATGAAGGATGGATGTGATGATTAAAAGATGTGTACGGAGTACTTTGTAAGAATTTTTTTTTTTTTTTAAAAAAAACCTGGAACTGACGTGCATGATCTGGTGGTTAATTGCAGCATCAAGTTCTAAGTACCATAGAATGGAAGATGAGAAGGTAGCGACGACGAGAATAAACGAGGACCACTTATTTATATGGCTCAGACAATATGAGTCTGCTTTAATTGCGTCCCCGATATTTTATGTTTAGTTTAATTAATCACGTCTATGTCCTTGTGTCATCGCTGTGATCAATATATGTACCAGTTTAGTTGTTTCATGCATTAATCACAAAGTCATTTCCATCGCACCTTCAATTCGACCAGTATATTGTTTTTTTTTCTTCCCTAGCTATAATTAATAATGGTCGTGATCGATGGTTCTATGCGTGTTGGACCACAATTAATTATTGCGTTTTGATATATTATGTGATCTAGACTGGCTCGGTATAATTGGACGGTGTCTGAAAATTAATCAACCACTGTTCATATACTTATCCATTAAAAATGTGAATTATTTTTAATTAAATTTCACCCCTAATAAATATTTTCATATTTACCTTTATTTAATAAAATATTTTATTTAAAAATACATATAAAATAATTTATTTATTTTATATCTTGAAATATTAAAAATATTTTATATTTTTAAATATTTAATTTTTTTAAAAAATATCTTATATTTTTAATCGTGAAAAAATTACTCTTGTTATGCTCTAATATTTAGTCTCAATTTGACCTTCATCTGTTTCTAGCTTTGAAAAGAAAAACTTGACCTTCACCAACTTAACCCCAATGGCCGGTGGAGGATGACGATGAAGGGATTTTTTTATTTCAGGGTTATTTTGGTATTTTCAGAATATAATTATATTTATTAAATATATTTTTATCTCATTTTTATTTACATATCAAATATACTTTTAAACTTTACTTCCACTTACACTAAAAACATTTCACTGTATCAAATGAGTCATGGGTCTCAAAACATGCGACATGAGTATCTTTTGTTAAGAAAGAGCATATATTTGGCTTTTGGGCATGCAAACTGTGTTTAAATAATTAAAATTGTAATAATATTTAAGTATTGATACCGTAAATTACAATTCTGCCTTATTAGTTTTAGATTATTAATTAGATTTAATCATGCTTTGACCGCGGAGAAGAAGTTAATAGGCTCACCTTCCAACCAAGGCAATGATATGAATTAAGTTGAGAGTTAGTACAACCATTATTACAAAAATGAGTTTTAACAGCGATTAAAAATGACTTTTTACAATAGTTAAATAAGTAAAGTTGTTACAAGAGATGTAGAAAGTTTAACTTTCTATATCAGTTATACGACCGTTGTAAAAAAAATATATTTTATATCGGCTAACTATAATCGATATAGAAAATGGATCAACGATTCAAAAATTATAAACTGCAGCACTTTTTACAGTGGTTGGAACACAACCGCTGTAGAAAGTACACTTTTTACATTTGTTGGGTATGCAATCGCTGTAGAAAATACACTTTCTACAGTGGTTGCAGCCCCAACTACTGTAAAAATTTTAATATTTTACATCGGTTTTTATATTAACTGATGTACAATAGTAATTTTTATACCAATTATGGTAATAACTGCTGTAAAAAATATATTTTGTTTTTAAAATAAACATTCATATTTTTAAATTTATCTTACTCTGTACACAAAAATTACCACAGTCAAATCAAACAGCACAATTTATTTATAATTTTTAATATAAAATTAGATTAACAACTATCAAAAATTGAAAGTTATCTATAAATTATCTAAAAACTATTGAGCTATCCAAAACTAACCATTGTGTCAACAAATATTTTCAAAAATTGTTTGCAACCAATAAACTTCTTAAATTGTATAAAACTTTCTACAAAACTCACAAATTCTCCCTAAAATAAGTTGCCCAACATATGTGGATGTCTTCAATTTCAGCGACCACTCGCTAGAGAAAATCAATTTTCTACAGTAGGTGACTATCCACCCGCTGTAG